TTCTAGAAAAGGGTTCGAAAGTGGGGAACAGCTGTAGAGCGGGGTACATACGGGTCATAGATCGCTCCGATGTGTAAACATTATTCANGCTGTTAATCACCGTAGATTTCGATTGAAGCTCGAACTACCGATGACATGACGTATGACAGGGAGGAATTCATAGTGACTAATACACCAGCAACAAAATAAAACAGCAAAAAACTGCTGAATCCCTAAAATCCTTACGCTCTTCGGGAAAAAAGAATCGCCCCTACACACCTCTTCATTCCCATCCTTGATCGAAGACTTGGAAACAGAAGGGACAAGGCCTTGCCCCCTTCTGTTTGTGGGCGTTCGGTGGTGTTCAGTTGAAGTCGGCGAGGTCGATTCCTGGCTTTCGCGCTGGATAGTTGGGGCAGGAAGCGATTTGGCATTTGGGCACATTTCGTCTGCTTCGTTTTGGAATCCGTTTCAGCGGATAACGGGGGAGAGGGGGGACCGTTTATTCCCTACTAATGCCTTGAAAGATGGTAAGCAACTAAGGGCCTCACGAAAAGCCCTACTTTTCGATCAATAGGGTTATAAAAGCGTTTTATCGAAGGGTAATCAAGAACAAAACCTCGTTTTTGATAAGAATTTCGAGGGATGAGCAGCGACATCAGGCACTTATTCGAAGTGTTACAGAAACCTACAGAAACCTTATTCATCTCATAAAAAAATGCGCAGAAGACATATAGAATAACCTACAAAATGGACAAAAAAGCAAGGGACAAGTCATGTGGGTGTACCCATAGGTCCTCTTACCATTAGAAGATAATAAAGTTCAAGATCAGTTGGTTCTACTCTTTAGTCGCTACTCACTCAGAGAATTCAAAGGCAACCGAACTTTGAGCGATGAAATGTAGAAATCCAAGTTAGAAAATCGGCCATGCGATCCATAATCAAGGATACCATCTGAATGGGCAAAATAAGGCATCGATGAAATTGCTCGCGTCAGCATTGCAGCAAAAAACAAGCCCTCTATCTATTTTATTGTAATTTCTAGGACATAGGTCGGGTTCAGATGTAAATGTCACTGTCATAAAAGTGTTATGGTGTCATGAAAACCTTAAATTGTCGAAAAATCTCCAAATTTCTTAGAGAGCTGCTAAACTTATGCATACAAATCCCCATACTCGCACATATGCATGGAGAATCTTTCGAATGACCAGATACTACTGTTATGAAGAAAATCCCAGGTAGCTTGCATCCCATGGACTCTTAAAAGCGTTAATTTGTGAATTTTGCAAAAATTGCCTATAAGATGGCCAAAGGGTCAGTCGAAGGGAAGGAGATCGAAGAATGAAAAGAAGAACTTCTGACAATAATCCCTACAAGCTCTGCTCTATTCCTGAACAGTAAGAAAGTGAACAACAATGTTTAAGCTTGATCATGATCAGTTGTGAAAAGCTGTCGTATTGGCCGAAGAACCCTTGGTGGAACTTTTAAAAAATTTTTGCTTGGGTACCTTTAAAAATGGAATAATATGGTCTTGTAAGATTGACCAACATTCCACCAGAATTAAGGACTTACTCATGCTCTCGAAACAGCGAAGAGAAGGATTCACTGGAAGTTTGGGAAACGAGTTTGAAATCGATGAGGTAAGTTCTAGAAAAGGGTTCGAAAGTGGGGAACAGCTGTAGATCGGGCTACGAACGGGTCATAGATCGCTCCGATGTGTAAACATTATTCACGCTAGACATTTTTTTTAAATATCAATAGGACACTGAGTGTCACCGACACATTTCCCTAGGGTGTTCCCCTGAAAAACAAGGGTCTCTCGGACAAAAAAATGGGGTTCGAATATCATACTGAAAGGAAAATAAAGCTTCGGAAATCAGTTTCCCCATCGGGCTTGTTCCCATAAGACACCGAGCGTAAAGATGGAACTTCCTCGCAGATAATCTCTACTAAAAAAAGGATGAAGTCATTTTTAGGAAGTATTGGTTGAATTACGGATGTCAGAAATGGTACAGTAGCCTTTCAGTGGTTTTTTGGAAACCGTTGAACCAGAACTAACCTCGACGGAATCTCTCCGGATGTCAAAAGTGCACTCGCGAATAAAATGTACGAAGGAAAGAAAATTTTGTGTATTATATTTCGACGAAATTTTTTCATACTGTAAGAATAACTTCCACAGTATTGTTAATCATTTATAATCCTTATTAATGGCTATTTTGGCTTATTACTAACTACTTTTACTANTATTTTGCCAGTTTTTTTTCTGATCGAAGGCTCAGCTCTCAAAACTGCTCGTCAGAAGAATGAATATACTAGGTTTTTCTAACTCGCGACAGTAGCCGCTACGGACGTCAGCATCGTGAAACTTGATTATCAAGGGAACGATAGGGTAAAAAGTGGCTTAGTTGTCAATATTGAGTGGTAAAAATGGTGAAACTGGTTCTCTTGTTGCAGTTGGATCTTACGATCAGATCCCTCCAACGATGGATCATTTATTCTAAGCGCGTCTGGCGAATGAAACCACCAGTTGAGGCTGATTCTCGTTGATAACCGTTCAGAATCAAGAGTTCTTCCTATGAACTTCCGCAAATTGAACTAGTATATTAAAAGCATGGCGTATCAAGACTACGAATAATCCAAGCATTTCATACAAAGCATGATAACTACTCTGATAACTTACTAGATTTATCTAGAGAAAAGAAGAAACAACAAAAGAAGTCACGGGAAGCGACGCAGGAAAGCCTCCTAAGTCTGGATGTCTGCTACCACTGGAAGATCCTATGTCAAAAGCGAGTTCTCCTTATTCAAATTATGACATCCGTGAGAATAGGCTTCAAGGAGACCCTCTTTGGGAGCTGATTTTAAACTTTTTCGATCGGAAACTAACGGGAACTGAAGTGCTGCTCAGGCGAAGGTAATGCTGCACTTCGAGTAAATAGCGCTCAGGAAAAAGCAAATTTGGACGAGTTCGCGGCAATAAAATCTCGACCAAATCGCATTACTTTTTCAGAAAATCCCGTCCCTTTCAAACTCTCCAGAGTGGCAGGAAAGGTAATAAAGCCTATTCATGAGTGGTAATTAAGTATACTGCCATGGCACAACAACAACACGGTTGGCCCGTTACTGCTTTCAGAACAGCCCAATCGTTCAAGGAAGGAACTTTCGGGGAAGTGCGAAGCGGTTTCGGTCTTAAAGCTCATTGTTCCACAAGAACACCCTCTTTGAAGTGGGAATCTGAAGTTCCGCGCCCCTCAAGAAGGCAGTGCTCTCGAAAACTCGTTTACTAGGAGTTTTCAGAGGCCTTTCTACTATCTATACCAGTAATGTTTACTATTTACTATACTATACGTAATAGAGACGGATATAGCGGTGTTAAGCGAACGCTAATCGCTTTGCTGACAACAAACAATCCGCTATGCAATCGCCAATTACTAGTCAAGCGGATAAGTATGCCATTTGTATTCTAACGGAGGATTTTAGTTCCCATATGGGGACGGAACCATGACCATTTTGCAGGCTAGTGTACTCTGAGTGCGAGAGCCAGCACCCGAGCGGTGCTATTCTTGGCGCTTCCTTGAAGGTCGCGCCATCTGTCGCTATGCAACGAGTTTTTGCAGCGACCCTTTGAGGGCACCCATCAGGAACACAAATGGAGGAGCACTCGGGCACAACGTGAAAGGTCATCGGATGTCCTCGACGAGGTAAATTGTAGCAGTGCAAAAATATTTACAAGTAACTGGAACACGGAATGGAAACCGAGGCAACCGGGGCGTGGTTGGCAAGGGAACCTCACGCCACGAGATCAATAACACCGAACGGACCAACGCGCTCTATGGGGGCCCCAATGATGGCGGCGAAAAGCCTTAATAGCAACATATTCCTAGCTTTAATGGGTACTGGATGGAATATAAAGAGAAGAAATGGAGAGATCCTATCAATAGCTTCCCTACAGTGTAGGGAAACTGGCTTTGCATGAGAGTGAATTCACCCAAATGGGACAGAATTGTGACGAATGCGCTCAGCAGGGGTCGATGGGAGACAATAATTGCGTGGGGAAAGTCAGTCGAAATTGGCTTGGCTACTGAGAGTCCACAATGAAGGGCCCGTTTGGGATGAACTGGTTGATGGGCCAGTGTCACGGATCCAATCGGGCCGGCTAATTGTAAGCACGTTGGTCACTCCAAAAAACGGAATTCGAGAGAAGCTATTGAAGCGAGTCGGTTTCTTATTCGGCAGAAAACTAGTCTACGGAGACTGGAACTCGATCTCATTACTCAGTTAATTACTTCAAAGTAGCAAATTCATGATGCAGGGTAGATGCATTGTTGTCAGACGACTGCCTGGAGAAAATAAATGCCTCTGAGATGATGCTAACCGATAGTTTATCCAAAAAGATGGTCAGGTCGATAAACAATTTTAAGGGGACAGACCGCAATAATCCACACAAACGACAACTGAGAACATGGGAAGGCCTGACTACAGGAAAAAAAGTTTGTCGAGAAATTATAGAACCCTGGATGTGACAACAACCTATTTCTGATACTAGTTCAAGCGGAAAATTCTGGCCGAAACTTCGAAAAATTCTGACCTTTGCTTGCCTTATAGAAAGCCCAAAGAACAATGATGTGCTACAAAAATCGCAAAGTCACACAATTCACGATTTGCTCCCGAACACGTTCAAATGAAGCTCCCGAACAGCCGATGAAATATTCAATGCCACCGAAGAATATGAAGTATCAAGTTATTGGAAGCGGCATCGCTGCCCGTTCCATCAACATGGCATGAGCTCAAGTTACCGGCTTTATACAGGACACATGTCAGTCAAAGTGGATGTTTTTACTGGGTAAGCTACAGGTCCCAAGAAGTGGAACACCCGTTGGTAGAAACCAATTTGTTAATCAGTTGGTATCAAGGTCATACCAGATCAAGATTTTGCGATTTTCACTACCGAAAAACAGAGATTGAGATCGAAATCCTAACTCTATTTCCGCTCTACTACCTAGGATTACCCACCCTACATTCTTCCCCAGCTTTCACGCCACGAAATGCAAGTGGTATTGAAAAACAGAGTTCGAGCGAGCCACCATCGAACTAAAGCGAAGTTAGCACCCTCGGACTATCTGGTGAACCTAGAAAATTTGCCACAATTCAGATCGAGTTCGAGCTTAAGGACCGCGATTTAACCGATTGTACGAAGGTAATTTAGAGCTTTTCTAGGTAGTAGGGAATACTAGGTCTCTCATCCGCAGTAAAGGTGCCCAGTGGAGTCACAGAGTGGAGAGTACGTTGACAACAGACAAGGGCGTTTGGTGGAGACCACGCTAGGTGCCATTATCATACCCATCGCCCGAACGACGCACCGGATTGTTTTCCGTTTTGGGCAGCATCAGATTCATCCAACCAAGTGGTCAATTTAACCCAAACTTGTTTGGATGACAAAAACTATGGCTTATACGTAGGCTATCCCACATAAGGCAATCTGTAACTTCAATCAGATCCTGTATCAACGTGAATGCATCTAATGCTATTCAAAACGACAATCGTCTAAAAGCTTGCTGTTTTGCCAGCCTACTGAAGAAAAGAATTCGATCTGAGGTCAACCAGTTTCTTGCTTGGCACTAATCCCATCTGCATCATTTACTTGACACGCATCCGTAATTCCTGAAGAAGGTGCCGATCAAGGCTCGTAGAGAATCTTACCTAAAAAGCTCCCAGTCACAAATTCACAAGTTTCTCTGAAGGTTTTTGTTTTTCAGTTGTTGGCGTTATTTGTAACTGGCGCGGAAGTCCCAAAAGGTACGCGTACACCTTATTTCAGGGAGATATCTTCGAAAGATACGAACCTCAAGAAACCAAGCCTTCCACGTCTCCGGAGTCCGCTGATCGGTACCGGACGCGTCTGGGAGGAGATACGCATTGACTGGTATATTAAACGGTTCCTGTAGGTCATTGCATAGGCCACGTACAAATGCTTGCAAACGGCAGTCTTCGATTCTGAATGGCAGTCGAAGACGAGGACTCGTCCAAAAGTTGGCCAACGAGGAAACTTCATACTTCATTGGCACCAATGGGTGCTAATGTTGCTATTCATTATTTTGTCACCCTTTCCTGAATTTCCACAATAAACAAGTGAATAAACAACTAGGGATCCAATTTCTTTACCACTTTATTCGGCGTTGTATAGAGAAAGGCGAATACACAGGTTTTTTTGGAAATTCCAGCCGCACGGGGTAGTAGATCCAAGAGGATTATAGGAGATATGGCCCGAAAAAGGGAGTACTCTGTCGATAGCTTATCACGCGATGTGAGATTATTCAGTAGAAGGGTGGAAGTGAACTGGTTTCATCACTCCTCCCACCTCTTCACTCTCGTAACTCCTCGCATCCACTCATTCAAAGGCACAGTTCACGGTAATTTTGAGGTACCCGTTTTTATTCGAAAAGCGGGAGTATAGATTGGGAATAGTTCATCGGTAGTGGAGAAAGCGAGAGA